AGTAGATGCTCGTTTTGAGGTTATGAAATTTTCATACTTAATATTTTTTTTTATTTATATTTATTTATTTATATATATACATTATTTTCATATCTCAGTCAGGCAGAGGTGCCTGGTTTCTGTTACTTTGATCATCTTAGATGAAATGCATTTTCTTATACCATATCACTGCTAATTACAAATATTAAATAAAATTTCAGATAACCAATGGCTGTTTCTCTATTTGATTCCATTCGGGAAGTTAAAACCGAACCACCAGAATTTCCAATTGAAAACATTAAATGTGAAATAAAAGACGAGCCTGAAGATGATGAAACATCGTCTGGAGAGATTCATGATTCCGATATAACATAGAAGATGAAGTCAAACAGGAATCCTATGAAGCACCTCATTATGAATGACTATTTGTAATGAATCATTTACAGGGCAGCATGATTTAGAACAGCATATGCTGGTACATAGTCATGATTGTCCATTTTGTTCAGACACTTTTCCAGATTCAAGCGCCTTAGATATACATCTGAAAATTCATGCAGATGAAAGCCTTTTGTTTGCACAATTTGCAATAAAGCATTTGCTGTAAAATTTGATTTTGATCAACACGTTTGTGGTGGAGAAAAAACTTTAATGTTGAATAAATTATCTGATAATCAAAAACAAAGTAAGAGTACACAAAGACCACATAAATGTAAAGTTTGTAATAAGAGTTTCTACTATCCAAGTTACTTGAAAGATCATATGCTTATTCACACTGGAGAACGTCCTTACGAATGTGAAATATGCAATAAGACATTCAGACAAATGGGTGTTTTGAGAGCACATCAACTCATTCACAGTGGGGTTCGTCCTTATAAATGTGAAATATGCGATAAGACATTCACGCAAATGGCTGCCTTGATAGCACATAAAATATTCACAGTGGGGTTCATCCTCACAAATGTGAATTATGCGATAAGACATTCAGAACAATGGGTGCCTTGAGAGCACATAAACTCATTCACAGCGGGGTTCGTCCTCACAAATGTGAAATATGCGATAAGACATTCACGCAAATGGCTGCCTTGATAGCACATAAACTCACTCACAGTGGGGCTCGTCCTCACAAATGTGAATTATGCGATAAGACATTCAGAACAATGTTTGCCTTGAGATCACATAAACTTATTCACAGTGGGGCTCGTCCTCACAAATGTGAAATATGCTATATGACATTCACACAAATGAGTAGCTTGAGTGCACATAAACTCATTCACACTGGGGAACGACCTCACAAATGTGAAACATGCAATAAGACATTTGCTCAAGTGAGTACTTTGAATAGACATGTGCTTATTCACACTGGAGAACGGCCTCACAAATGTGAAATATGCGATAAGACATTCACACAAGCAAGTAGCTTGAGAACTCATATGCCCGTTCACAGTGGGGTACGGCCCCATAAGTGTACAGTATGTGATAAAACATTTGCACGGACCAAGCATCCTCAAAAAGCACATCGTTACACACAACAAAAAAGTAATTATAAATATAAAGTATGCAATAAGGGATTTTGCCAAATGGCTGCGCAATGAAATATGTAAAAGATATTTCTAAAAATGGAGTTGAAAGATCTATTAATTAATTTTTGAAAGTATGTTTACAATATGAATTATTTTTGTATGTTTTATAAATATAAACAAACAATGTTATCAATGATTGTTTCATTGTAATAATGTTTTATATCTGCTGTAGGTTTAATTATTATTTTATAAACAATTTGAATACAGTTTTATATTTCATAGCATATTTAAATGTTATTTTGACCATACTTTATATTTTTCACAATTTTATTAATTAACTTCCCGTAGGTAAGTTATTGTAATGGGCCAAAAATCAAATTGAAATTTTTTACATTTCTCGACGTTTTGAAGGTTTCTGAACATTTCGACATACCTCAGAAAAATGGATGTGTGTGTGTGTGTATGTATGTATGGATACAAATTTCTAGTCACGTTTTCGGCGCACAGATCAACTGATTCGTATGGTTCAAAAACATTCGATTCGTATTAATAAGAAGATGTGATTAGTTTTTGGCGAAGGCAAGTCCAGCCGTTAAGGAGATACGGAGCAAAGAGTGCAGAAAATAAAAATCGACTTTTTGAGAGAACGGAGTATCCGATTTGAATGATTTAAAAAACATTCAATTAGTAATGATTGGAAGAAGTTGTTATTAGTTTTTGGCAAAGGCAGGCCCAGCCATTTCGAAGATACGGAGCTAAATATACAAAAAAATGGCAGTTTTTGAGAGAACTAAGCGTCCGATTTAATTGATTCAAAGAACTTTCTTCTTGTATTGACAAAACAATTGCTTTTGATAATAAACTATTGGGGCTTAAGGCAGTTGAACAATTTTTTTTTTCAAAAACAATTATTTTGTTAATTTTTTGTATATCGAAAATAATTCACATTTTATTTTTAATTCTGACTATAGTTCTAATGTACTTTAAACAAATAATTTCAACTTTGCAATTCAGTTTATATAATTCTTATAAATATTTGACAATGCTACAATATTAATAATAATCTATTTGAAAACGCTCAGTATTCCTCTAACATTTCGTTACGGTACGGGAAGTTCCAGCAATTTGCCTTAAGGCACGATGCCACCCACCTTACTAGTTTAAATAGCTTTTGAACATTTGAAGGTAACATAATTATTTTTATTAAATTCATTATTTAGCTTCCTGATTGTGGAAATAATATTAGTAAAGTATTTGGCAAATTTTAGCAGCAACTTTATATTGCAATTGTAAACTACAAATTTATCGCTTAAAACATTGCGTAACGATTTTATTATATGTCTTGTAACTTTAAAGGCACTTGTTTTATATAAATGAAATATTTGGTAAATTTGTACAATATTAAATTATACACAATAGTACTTATTGTAGTTTTATAAATGTGAATCGACACAAACTGTAATATATCAAAATAATTTTGAAGCAAGTGAGTACGATTTTATAACAATTAGTTATATCTTCTATATATATAAAAATAAGTCGGGTTTTCCTTCCTGACGAAATAACTCCAGAACGCACGAACCGATTTCGACAATTTTGCATTCGTTGGAAAGGCCTCGGGCTCCGCAAGGTTTATAGCTAAGAAAATTAGTTGTGCATGGCATCGTGCCTTAATGCAAGCTGCTGGAACTTCACGCACCGTAATTAAAAATTCGAGTAATGACATTAGTGAGAATTATCAGAATTATACTTGGTTAAGTCAACGAGCAATTCTTGCCGCAAAGAATAATGATGTACACGCACTGAGTTTCACCATTCAATCAAAATTTGGCGATTTGGTGACATACCAATGATTCCGACTGGTCTTCCGTTTGACTTCAAACGGTTCGCAATGACAATTAACAAGTCTCAAGGCCAATCGCTTAGTGTTTGCGGGATAAATTTCAAATAGATTATTTAGAAAATCATTGTTTTTCACATGGGCAGTTATACGTTGCCTGTTCACGTGTTGGAAAACCATCCGCTTTGTTTGTGTTAACGTCAGACCAGAAAACAAAAAATGTGGTTTACCAAAGAGCACTTCAATGAAACGAATAATTGGCGGATTCACTTTCATTTACTTTGAGAAGTTCAACTAAAAAACAATTCATTTTTGTAATCGAAATAAATTCATTACTGTTGTATAATAAAATCAAATTTTTCCTTTTCAAATATAAAACAAACAAAAAATTTCTTCATCTTTCTCACGAAACCATCTGGTGGCGAAACGGAGTTCGTCGGGTTTGCTAGTGTATTTATATTAGTTGATAGTTAAAATTTAAATTTAAATTTGGCGCTGTTGTTAGCGTCATCTACGATCGGTAGAAATCTCTGCAGTGTCATATCTTTATATAAATCTATGACATGCAATAATTAACAATTCATTTTATTCTCGGTTTTGGTTCGGAAAACATGGCATTTTTTTGGTTTTTGTCAAATAACTCAAAAATTTCATATGGAACTACCCTTTTTTAGTTAGATAGGGTGAAACTAGATAAAATTTACAACAATTTATATAAAGGTTTTGAATAAAACGACTTTGAATTCGATATTTCATTCTTAGGCGAAAAATATAGAAAATTCGGGACATGTTTTTGGTTTTTATCAAATAACTCAAAAATTTCATATGGAATTACCCCTTTCGAAATCAAACCGAACGAACTTTAAATAAGTTACAATTTCTAAGAATTATATAAACTGAATTGCAAAGATAAAATAACTTAATTTAAAGTATATAAGTGAGCTTTAGAATTAAATTACAGTTAGGATTTAAATTTGAAATTTGAATGCATAATTTAAAAAAATCTGAATGTATGTGAAAATATTGTAAGTTGTCTGAAAATATTGCAAATAGTGTGAAAATGTTGCATATTGTCTGAAAATGTTGTAAATTGTATAAACATTGTATAAACATGACGTAAATTGTCTGAAAATGCTCCTTTTCTTTAATGATATCTATATTTATGTTTATATAAAAATAAAATATGATTATAATAAAAAAACTTACATTCTTATCCATTTTCCATCTTTAACCAGGTTGCATGTTGTTACCCTAGAAAAAAATGGATCATATTTAAATAATTCATCTGTTTTGTATGGGATTTGGATATATAAATGTATTTGTTGATTTCTTAGGCAATAAATATAGAAAATTCGGGACATTTTTGGTTTTTGTCAAATAACTCAAAAATTTCATATAGAACCACCCTTTTTTAGTTAGATAGGGTGAAACTAGATAAAATTTACATTTTCTAAGGAACACTTTTATACATTCCGATATAAAAGATTTGAATAAAATTACTTTGAATACTATATTTCATTTTTAAGCGAACCGTTTAAAAGTTACAAGACATATAATAAACAAATACCCCAAGTCATAAATGTCGAAATGAAAAAAATCCAAACAAATAATTTGTCCCATTACAAAATCAATTATCATCGCTTGTTTATCGATACCAATTGTCAAATAATCGATAATGATGAATTTCGAATATTAAAAATAAATATAAAAATAGTTGTTGGCGATAAGATAAAAGTCGAATCGAATAATATGCCAAGTGCAAAAATTCACAAGATTCTCGAACGATAACGAGAAGTTTTAAATAAGAGGCCTGAGAAACAATTCGATTATTTTAGTTGTTGGATTTGTGTGATTCTGTTCGAAAATTTGTGGGAAATTTGAGAAAATTTGTGAAAACTTGAGTAAGTACACTAGTAGGATAGAAGAAATTTAATTTCTTATAAATCTTGTAACTTTTAAACAGTTTGTCTCATATAAATGATATATCAGAGAAATTTGCTCAAAACTGAATTATTCATATTATTGTTTAACATTATAAGACCCTACAGCAACTCGGTATACTTTAAAAATTTAATTGAAAAGCAGAAAATTAGACTAAATGCTTGAATACAAGATTACGACGATAATTCTGCATTCCTAGCAATGATATTATGCATTTATTTATTATATTAGATCTCTTGTAACTTTTAAACCGTTTGCTTAATATAAATCAAATATTCAGCAAATTTGTTTAAAATTGAATTGTCTATGATATTGTCTAACATAAGAAAACCATAGAGCAACTCGGTATACTTTAAAAATGTAATTGAAAACAGAAAATTAAACTAAACTTGCATTGACTAGCAAAGATATTCTGCATTTATTTATTATATTAGATCTCTTGTAACTTTTGAACCGTTTCCTTAGTATAAATCAAATATTCAGCTGTTTAAAATTAAATTGTCTAAAACATTGTCTAACATAATAAGACCTTAGAGCAACTCGGTATACTTTAAAAATGTATTTGAAAGCAGAAAATTAGTCTAAACGCTTGAATACAATTCTGCATTGACTAGCAATGATATTCTGCATTTATTTGTAACTATAAAATCTTTGGTCTGATTAAAATAAAATATGAGAAAAAATTATACAAAATTTAATTCTCTATAATCTTTTCTAATATTATAAAGCCCTACAGCAACTCGGTATACTTTAAAATTGTAATTGAAACAGAAAATTAATTTAAGAGAGTGTAAAGAAGCATTCATTTATTATATCTTCTATAACTTTTCATCTGTGCGTTAAACATAAATAAAATATGAAATAAAAATGTTTAAAATAAAATTATTCATAAAATTGTATAATATTATAAACCCCTACAACAAGTCGGTATACTTAAAATTTGCGATAGATTTTTTTTTTTAATATCAATAATTATTACAACTGTTAAATTATTAACGTCTAGTAATATATATAATAAATAATAACATAAATTTAAATAAATAAAAGTGCAAAGGATAAAATTTACATGAAAATAATATCCGTTATTGAAAATAAATCATTTATATGATAATTTTTTTTTTATATATGGTATAACTTCTGAACTGTTTTTTTGATATAATTATAATATTTAGCAAATTTGTTCAAAATTAAATTGTCTATTACCATAAGAATAAATTTATTAAATCATTAACAAAAAATCAATATAATAAGTTTTCAACCTTCAGCATTTACGTGCATATATTTATCAGATTTGTTTAATTAAAAATCTGATCAATGATTTAATTTTCTATTATGTTATTATAATGATTAACTTATCAGAAATCAATGTTTTTATCAAATGATATTACCTTGGATTGCATCTGATGCAAAATAACAAAGAGTCATTATAGATAAATACATTTATATATATATATATATATATATATATTAATTTTAATTAAAAAAATAGACATTTTTGTAATATTTTTGATAATATTTACAACCTTTCGAATTTCATTTGTATAAATGTATTTTTATCTTTAAATCCTGAAGATTTATATATGTAGAAAATATATTATTGATAAACTAGTGAAAATTGGAAATCAAGGGTATTACTACTCGATGGCAAATTAAAAATGTTATTAGAACAGCTTTTTGAATCACCAAAATATCTGCAATAGTTTTTATAAAATTGCATTTTTACACTTTGCAAAATTTTATAAGTCGCAAAAAATCAATATGGATCCTACGAAATCGAAATATTTAAAAATGCAATATCTCGAGAACGCTTTGAGATATTTTAGAAATTCAAAAAGCCGCTTATATAACATTTTTAATTTGCCATCGAACTGTGGTACTTACTATATGTTGTTTTAACTCGTTCACTAAGAATGCAACAATAATATGCACACCCATATAGAAAGATTAAATAGTACAATCGGTAATGGAAAAAACTTAACTATATATTAATTGTCTATAAAGATGCATACTCTCGACTTGCATTGTTAACTATTTCTTCAAATCCTAAATATTTATTTATGCATAGTGTATATTCTTGAGGAACTAGTAACAATTTTAAATCAAGAGTATTACTATTCGATGGCAAATTAAAAATGTTTCTAGAACAACTTTTTGAATCACCAAAATATCTGCAATAGTTTTTGAAAAATTGCATTTTTACACTTTGCAAATTTTGTAAGTTGTGAAAAATCAATATGGATCCTGCGAAATCGAAATGTTTAAAAATGCAATATCTCGAGAACGCTTTGATATATTTTAGAAATTCAAAAAGTCGCTTATATAACACTTTCAATTTGCCATCGAACTGTGTTAATCACGATTTGCTGGTTTAACTCTTTCACTAAAAATGCAATATTAATTGCATTGCAATGCATCGTAATAAATTGTCAATTTCAACATTGCAGTCGTCTTATTAAATATTATTTTAATAACAGAAAATTGAGATTTGAAATATAAAAATATGCAAACTATGCCACTTTATTTAATAACTATTTTGTCGTTGTTTAAAAATGTCAATTTCAACATTTCATATCATTTATGTCTGTTGAAATCCAAAGACACCGTTTCTGGTCTTGGAAGAGTTTCCGCTAATTACTCAATACCAATACTACTAATAATAATATTTATATCTATATATATTATCGATCTGTGTGTCTGTAAATGTGTCTGGTGCAATACAAGACGATTGGCAAAGAAAATTTCACTTTTAAGACGATGGACAAACACTTCAAGTAGTAGATGACAAGTGACATTTTTAAATATTATATACTAAGTATTAAAAAAAATATGAAGCAACGTAGCTATTATATTTTTAAATTCTAAACCTCCACATTCTGTTATTAAAATAACTCTTAATAAGACGACTGCAATACTTATAAAACTGAAACCGATATTATTTTATAAAACGACTGCAATGTTGAAATTGTCAAATTAATACAATGTATTGCAATGCAATTAATGTTGCATTCTTAGTGAAAGAGTTAAAACAGCAAGTCGTGATTAATACAGTTCGATGGCAAATTGAAAGTATTATATAAAGGACTTTTTGAATTTCTAAAATATCTCAAAGCGTTCTCGAGATATTGCATTTTTAAACATTTTGATTTCGCAGGATCCATATTGATTTTTTACAACTTATAAAATTTGCAAAGTGTAAAAATGCAATTTTGTAAAAACTATTGCAGATATTTTGGTGATTCAAAAAGTTGTTCTAGAAGCATTTTTAATTTGCCATCGAGTAGTAATAACCTCGATTCCCAATTTTCACTAATTCATCAAGAATATACATTATACACAGATAAATAAAATCAGGATTTGGAGAAATAGTTAACAATGCAAGCAGATACTATATTAATAGTCAGTTAATATATTTTTAAAATTAATTTATTATTACCGATTGTGTTATTTGATGCTTTCTATATGAGTATGCAAATTTAAGTTGCATTCTCAGTGAAAGAGTTAAAACAACAAATCATAAATTAATTTATTTGTTATTGATTAAGTCGATTATTTACACATATCGGGAAGTTCATGTAACTTCAAGGCAAAATGCCACTTACAACAAGTCAGCAAATTATTTGAATCAATAACAACAATATACGATAATTCTTTCACCTCGATAATTACCTCTGGAAAATTATATAACGTCTTAGAAATCACGGTCAAAAAACGCTAAAAATGAGTTAATAGATAGTAAATATATATATATATATATATATATAAATGTATGTATGTATATATATATATATATATATATATATATATATAAATGTATTTATATATTTTGCACCTGACCCAGATCTCCGTCGGAGCAAAAAACGAAAATATTATATGAAGATGAAAGTCACTTCTTGTTTCATATGCAAGGTCGACCGCGTTATAACCGATAAATTGCGTAATGTATAACACGATTATCAAGAATTTATATAGGAGGATATATATATATATATATATATATATATATATATATATATATCTGAGCAATTGTATTAACTTTTTATAAATAAACTTTATATATTAAACTATTTTCCTATACCATATTACTATTATTATTTAGTCGATATCCATGTTTCTGATCTATATAGAATCGCATATATATATATATATATATATATATATATATATAAATTTATTATTCATCCCATGTATCTCATTTTCGGTATTTTTTTTCACAAAATGAATTTAAAAAAGAAAAAAATTCATCAATCGTGTCGTCGTAGTCTCAATGTCGAATCGAATAGGAAGTCTAATCGAATTTCATGGTCGATTATTCGAAAACGCATCACGAATATCAATTTGTTTGAGTCCTATGCCAAAATATTAAATTACTAGTTAAAGCTGGGACCACATGGAAACTAGTGGTGTACGGCATCGTGCCTTAAGGCAAATTGCTGGAACTTCCCGTACCGTAACGAAAAATGTTCGAGGAATATTAAATGTTTTCAAATAGATTATTATAAATATTGTAACATTGTCTAATATTCATAGGAATTATATAAACTGAATTGCAAAGTTGAAATTATTTGCTGAACCGCTGGACCTGCCTTTGCCAAAAACTAGTCAGCCCATCTCCCTATCAATAGGGATCGAATGTTTTTTAAACCATTCAAATCGGCTGATCCGTGCGCCCGAAAACGTGGACGAAAAATTGTATCCATACATACATACACACACACACATGAATTTTTTCTGAGGTATGCCAAAATGTTCAGAAACCTTCAAAACGTGAAGAAATGCAATAATTTTCAATTTCGATTTTTGGACGATTATAATAACTTACTACGGGAAGTTACAAAGTATACAAATATTTATTTAATATATAAATATAAATTTAATATACTTTGTCGTAATTAAGTATAACTAATTTTTTGCCTTAATTATTGACAACTTATATAAATTGAATAGTGTGAAAAAATCTGAA